TAAAAAAAAAAAAAAAAAGCAAAAATATCTTTTTTGAAAGTGTAGACTCTTTAACAACAAAAAAAAAAAAAAAAAAAAAAAACAATTCATTATAATAATTGTTTCTTTATTATTATTGAAAGTCTTTGGAAAATCTAAAGATAAAAAACTGTACAATACTATTTTTTTTAATACTAGATTCTATAACAAAATAGTAATAAGGTAAATAACGCATAAACAATTAATTTCCTTAATTTCTTTGGATGTAAAATAAAGTTTTTTTTGAATGTGTATTGTTAAATATATAATATATTGATAGTCATTATTAAATGTGTATATATATATATCTTTTCTTTTTTTAGTAATATCAATTATGATATTCGAATACAGATACTAAATTAACTAGATCTATAGATTGGCGTATAAATTGTTTTGGGGTTGTCTATAGCCAAAATAGTATTTAGACAAAAATGTCCTAAATGTCTAAATTATTAAATACAACTAAAAGTCACGTGTATATACACAAAATCCACAAAGTTCAGTAAATTATTCAATAAAAAAATTCAATTTCAGCATTTTGGACAAATTGAGACCATGATTGTCTAAATGTGTAAATTAATTTATATTTTAGACATTGTCTAAATAATTTAGTTTAGACATCCATCTATAGTTACATCCAATAGAGTTTTAAAACAATCAATTAATTTTGTTAGTAATACATATGCAGGCGCAAGAAAATTTTTTTCATTAACGAACTCATTTTCGGTAAGCCACACACTACAGGTTGATGCATGATGGTAAATAAAAAAAACTCGATAAAAAAAATATTAACCTTAAATCAAAAATGGTATAAATAAAACCAAAAATCGACTTCATCAAGCTTATCTTCAATATCAAGGACAAAAAAATGAATGACGAATTAGTAATTACCGTCAATGATGAAAAAAAAGAAACTAATGAATCATCAAAAAATTTTGAAGATGTCGACAAATCGTCTGCCCATGAGACAACAGAAACTCACGAAACATTTGTTGGATTTTCCAAAGATTTAAAATACGTCTCACTCTACTTTCCCTATAACGACTATGTTCACTTTGCTGGAAAACACATTGATAACGTTTGTGAACATTTAAACGATAATCAATATTACGAAATCGATTATAAGAAATTAATTGAAGAAGAAAAACTCGATTTTCATGCACTTACCACACGCGTTTTCAAATCGATGGTAGATTTTGTATTTTCTGACGACTGCAAAGCTACAATAGTATCCGGAAAAGCTGATTCGTCGCCTCTTAAGTTTTTTTTGTAAATAATCGAATTTTTAATTAATTGACCAATGATTGTGATGTTGAAAAAGAAAGAGAATTTTTAGAAACGTCAATTAATTGTTTTCTTTTTCTTTGTATAGTTGGGATATGGATTTTATAAAAAAAAATGGCGAGGAGTTTAAATTTAATTTCATTTATCAAATGGTATTTTTCAATAAAAATTTGCTGGTTTATGAAGAAAACAAATTTAAAGTATTTTCTCCTGGGGACAATGATGACAAAAAATGGGTTCACACTAAAACTTTATATATCCATAGAAAATTGAAGACTATAGTATTCAAAGATACAAAATTATTTACAATCGATGAATACGGGACGTTAACATATTGGAATAAAGAATTTATTAAGTCTGAAAACGACTTCTATCTACCAAAAGATTTTGAACTTAAATATGTTAAGATAGAAACCAATAGAGACGAAAAATTAATACTAGTCTACAATGATAATCAAATACTTGTTTTTTCCATGGAATTTGGAATTTTTTTATCGTCATGTAAGTATTTTTTTGCTTCACTCACCATGGAACAATTAATTCATTTTTAATTTTGTTATTTATTTTTTTTTATTTTTTTTTAGATAAAATAAAAGTTGGTATTGATTTCATCAAGTGTGCGAATTTTATTTACACAGATGATGATGAGATAGAGCACTTATTTGTCATCATTGGTGGAAGTAATGATAATTTCATATTTATGGAACCATCAAATCTTAATAATACAAACGATATGACCAAGATATATGAGGAATATTTATCTATCAAAACCAATAAGTTTAATGGATTTCAAATACAAGATAATAAACTCATTGTGACATCACGCTCTTATTGTCGCGTTTATAATATATTAGATGAGAAAATAACAAAAAAAATTAGTTACAATCATTTAAAAAGTTTTAGTTTTGTTTTTCCATATGTTGGTAAAGCTTTAGATAAATTATTACTGGGTGAAAATATAGATAGTTTCAATATAACAAACGAATTAGAATTAAAATATGAAAACGTGGGATCAATTAAATGGATCGTCTCTCTTTCAACTACCGATAATGTTTGTGTAAATTTTAAAATTCAGAAAGATTCCAAAGAAGATGTTATATCATTTAATATTAAAACTATATTTTCATATGAAATTTTAAAAAATGAAGATTTGCTTCTAATAACAAAAAATGATGGCATACATGTATATTCAGTAAATGTTTCTGGAAATATCTATCAAAAATTCAATAGTAATCTTTACGTTGATGATAAAATACTCAAGAAAAATATTGAAAAATTCACCGAGTTTGATTTTGCCCACGTAAAACTTGGTAATTTGGAATTACATATCCATGCATTCAAATACATTTTGGAGGATACATTAGCATTAGCAAAATATGGAGAGAAAATATTTAATAGAGCGACAAAGGAGAAAGATGGATTCATTGCGGAATTAATTTATAATAAATATATCGAGGTTTATAAACAAAACCCCTCCACAAATCTACCATTATTGCGTGATATTGTGTTGCATTTAACAGGATTAGATACCTTTAATCCTGTAATTGTGGAAAAATTTTTGGAAACGGTTTCGATCAGCTTGGATCCTAATTGCAATAAGATTTCTACCTCGACGGTTCCAGAAAAAAATTACATATGTGATGAAAACGAAGAAAATGAAAAAAATACGAAAAAGTCAAACAAAAATTTCATCTATGAAAAATTTTTAAAGAGAGAAAAAACTCAATCCAACATCAATTTGGTCGTTCCCTTTCCAAAAATTTATAGCTATCCAAAGGAATATTCATTTTGGAGAGAATTTTTATATAAACCTGAACCCAGTATATTCATTAAGATGAATTTGACTCAAGTGTACAATTATAATGGAAAAGAGATTGTAGATTTTAAATGGAAAATGTTTGGTTTGAGATACCATATAGCAATATGGGGTTTTTTCATGTTATTTATGTTGACTTTTTCGATAGTGACGAGCGATCCTAGTGATTCTGCAGGAGAAAGATTTCCGTTTTTCATAATTATAATTATCTTAGGTTTAATTCATTTATTTTTTGAGATCAGGCAATTTATTTTTTATGGATTTAAATATTTTGGCGACTATATAAATTATTTAGGCAAGCCTATCTATCCATCATTTATTATTCAAAGTTATTGATTAATATTAATTAATTAATTAATTTATTTATTTATTTATTTATTTATTTAGAGTTGATATCTTATATTATTCCCATAATTATATCAATTCACTGGATAGTTAAAGGGGCACCAAGCGTCACATTGATTTCCGTTTCAAATTTACTGTTAGATTTAAAATTAGTATCAATGTTAAGAGTATTTCCATTTTTCGGAAAATACTTGATTCTGGCTTTTGGTGTGACCAAAAAAGTTTTTTGGTTCTTATTCTTTTTATTGTTTATAATTCTTCTCGGATTTGCCCATGCTTTATACATATATTTAAAGCCAGTTGACTATTATAGTTTAGATTATCCCCCTTTAACCATTAACATAAATGATCCAAATAATCCGTGGAATTTGGTCACAAAATATTATTCTATCCTTACGGATGGTTCTATTAGTACTGTCCCTACTATAATTCAACAACCTGATACAAGCACCAATATGTTTGCAACCTTTTTCTCATCTTTATTAGCAGTGTATAATTTCCTTACTGGTAAGATATTTTTTGATAGATCATCTATAATTGTAATTGGTATAATTATGCTTATAAAAAAAAATTTTTTTTATAGGTGACTCGGGAGCGATTCCATCATTACCACCGTTCGAGTATCCATATTTGACAGTATTGAAGTTACTATTCACGTATCTTATTTCGATTTATTTGGTAAACTTGTTTATTGGTTTATTATCTATAGCCGCTGAAGTTGAAATGCAATCTGACGGACTCTTTTTCGAACAAAAGGCAAAGGTAAGTAATGTTTTTCCACTTTTGTTTGGAACAATAATTCATATAATGATGACATTAAAATGATTGGTTATTTGATTTTGAATAGGTGATTAAAGACATTGAGCTTTTTTATTTATTACCTCATCAAAGGAGACGAAAGGATTGGTTTCCTGATTTAATGTAAGTTTTTTTTTTTTGATATTATACAATCGAAATTCATTATAGTGAAACTCACTACAATGAATGTAAGTATAAGTAAAGTTATAGTTGTAGTAGGTAGAGATGTTTTCTGATTCAGTGAAGTGTTATGTATGAGGAGACCGTTGTAAATGTGTGCTTTGACTGTTAAAAAAAAAGATAGATTATTTTATAACGATAATGGTAATAATCTTTAATTTAATTATTTTTATCAAGTACTTATAATACACCAGTTGACGAAATTCGTCGAAAGATTAATGGAATTGATAATAGTAAAGAACATTCAGAAAGTAAGCCATTCATCTCTGATAGGTTAAGAGAGTTGATTAACGTGAACAAAACAAACAAGAAAAAATATTTGGAAGAAAAAATCGAGGAAAATTTAATGGGGATGGAAGAAGAATTAAAACAAAAATTGGAAGAAAGATTTAGAATAATTGAAGATAAACTTTTTTCAAAAATAGAGGGAAAATTAAAACAAAACAATGATCTTATTTTGGATGAAATTCGAAAACTTTTAAAAACTTGATATTATTAAAAAAAAAACATGCGAACTTTGTAGCTTTGTGATGTATATTAATATTATTATGTTATGTTATATAATCATTTTTACATTTTCAAAAAAGACATGTTGGCTTTCTTTTTTTGTTTTGTTTTGAGAATAAAGAAATCAGTTCCGTTTTTTTTTTTAGTATATAGCGACAAAATGGGGGGATTTCCAGCAAAATATGGTTAGGAACATAATAAACTTTTTTGAGTAACAGTCCCTCAAAATTATGTTACGCATATGTTTTTGATATTTATATTAAATTTTCAAAGTCTTGTATCTCATTATTATTCTAAGCAAACATGGTCTGATTTTCTCACCAGTTGTAATCCTTACAATATAGATGTATATTATGCAAAAAACTCAATTTTGGTCAGAGAGGTCCCTAACCACATTTTTCCAGAAATCCCCCCAAATATCTTTTACATTTTCAAAGAAACATGTTGGCTTTTTTTTTTTTGATAATAAACTGTGATGTTTATGTAACAAAAAAAGATTTTTGACAATAGAGAAATAAATTGTCAATTATCCTGTGGTGATAAAGCATCTTTTACACAAAGGATTTTTTTTATAAAATGAACATTTCTGGTAAATGTTGTTACGTATTTTACCGACAATCGTTTCACCGACAACACATGGCGCGCCATTTTGGCATTTTATTTGTTATATGCTACCCCCGAGTTGTCGGTAAAATGAATTGCCTCCCAAAATATTATAATTATAAATTCGTTTTGCCTTTTTTTAAATTCGCGATTTATCTTTCCTAAATTTTTCATTTTGAACTACATCAAAAATTTTTAAAAAATGTCATCGTATTACATTGGAGAGGATGATTCATTTACTAATATTAATGAGTCATTTGCATCAGCAGGAACCAATTCATTGGCTTCTACTTCTAGTATTGACACTCAAATAAAAGAAGCTTTATTTGGAATTACTGTAAAGACCTAAGACACATGGATGGAAATGTATCGTTCCTAAAGAAAATGGAGATATTTGCGGTCAATATTTTCTATATAGCACAACTGCAAAAGGATCTACCACCAATATTATTTACCATTTATTAAGTCATCATGGTATAGTGAAACCAAAAACCGCTGATAAGGTATTTATAAATTATGTAGAATATTTATCAATTTTAAGCATAAAAATATAACATATCTCTCTATCAAGTTTATAAACACGAATATGGAGATGATTCAGTCTAACACAACTAACACACCACTAACTGAAACCCAAATCAACTTCATTCTAAAACTCTAATTAAATTCTTAATAAAAGATTCAATACCTTTTTACGTCTTGAAAAGTCACAATTTTCAAAATTTAATTTGCTCTCTAAATTCCCAATTCAAAACTCCAAACATAAACCTAATTAAGGAATCAATAGCACATTTATATAATATTTCATTTGATGAAATTCGAAACAAACTTCTCAATACCTGTCGATTTGCTTCTTTGACCACGGATTTTTGGACTTTTTCACACCAAAAAAAAAGATATACTAGTATAACTTGTTCCTGGCTCTCTGAAGACTTTGAACCGATTGAGACACTTTTAAATTTATTTCATGTTCCCCATCCACACATAAGCTTAATTATAAAAAATTTATTAGTGGAGGAAATATCAAAGTGTGGCTTGGAGGGAAAATTCACTGCTATTACAACTGACGATGATGACAGCAATATGGTATCAGGTTCTAGTTTATTAAAAGAATCATTAAATATTGAAAGAATTTCTTGTGCAGCTCATACATTACAACTTTGTATTAAAAAGTGAGATGATAATATCAAAGCATTATTAGTTCTAAGTATGAGAAGATTTCTCCCGAAACAGTTGGAGGCGCTGTTTAGACAACAACAAAGATTAAATGAAGATTATCCAGAAAAATTAAGACCAATATATGATGTAGCTACATGTTGGAGCAGTACTTATAATTCATGGGTGAGATTGTTGGTCTCAAAAAAGCCATCATTCTTTTACAAGCCAATATATGCTGAATAATGACCTTGAAACTAAAAAAGATCACATAAATTATTATTAGCTGATAATGAGTAAACTTTTGTTATTTATAACCGAAAATTCAAATTTATTCTTATAGAAACAATTGATCACTATTCTTTAGATATCCAGTGTAATTAATTGGATCATTTGATGATGATATATTTTTAATTTCTATTAAATAAAATAAAACGCATGGGAATTTTCTAGTGCATACTCCAAATCTTCAGGCTCGTGATTCTCGCTGTGTGCGCAGTAGAAACAGATAATGTCTATTAAAAGTGTAAATAAAATGATGTCATTTATTATTTGTATCGTTTTTTTGATAATTAAACTATTTTTATTTGGGTCCATACAATGTTTGTAATTTTACAAACAATGTTTATTCAATATTTCTTTTTAGTAAAAATAAAGAAAGATCAATTTAAAAAAAAATTTTCCAAAATGGAAAATTTTAATATTAAAAAATTAACATTCTTTTCTGGAAAACTCACATTAATCATTCTTTTGTTATCTTTATTTTTAATTCCTAATGTTAGAGCTCCTCCACTTCCACCCTCTCCTTCAACTAATTCCTCTTTCATTGTTTCCACTTCCTCAATTGTTCACACTTCTTCCACCATTTCTTCTTCTCATGCTCTAATTTCCCCTTCACCACCTTTATTTAATGAAGATGTTGATTCATCTTCTGCTGTTAATAATAATGAATCAAATTATATCTTATATCTTGTTGATGTATTCTTATTATCGTTGGATATTTGCATTTGCATTTATTTGAAGAGTATATGAAAAGAGAAAAGCTGATGAGCCTCATTTTATATTTTTATTAAATTATTTGAATATTATTCACAGTACAATTGGAATGATTATTGGATGTGATAAAACAAATAAGGCAATCATACAAGGATTAATAACTATATATTTTTTTTGGCCCATTCTGATACAGAAAAACCCTCTGCAACACGAAATTGAAGCAATGGTTTTTAGATTTTTGCCAAGCAAGATTGAATTAGAAAAGGACATAATAATTTCCGCAGCTTTTGTAAATTTTATAAATGCAGTTCGCTTGTATAATAATTCAAAAGATTACAATTCTTTTAATATTGAAATTTTTAAAATAATTTTGATTTTGATCAGTAATTATGATGAGTTTCTAAAACCAATATTATTGATTATTCCATCAACTGTTCAAGGTGTGATCCTATATCCTAAATATGATAATATCATCATAATAGTTACTATTATTTTATCTTATGCAGCAACATTCATGGAAATGCATCGGAAAGTTCAGATGTCTCAGGCTCGGGAACCTCAAATATCTCCAAAACTCAATGAATTTTTAACACTATTTTTTGTGGAGTTAGGGATAATTTTTCTTAAATTTTGTGTATGTAGTAGTGTATACGGTATAGGAATGGCAATAATTTTTATATCAACTATTTTAGGTTTATTATCTTTAATGTATTTTATCATAGTGCCTTATTTTTATTTCGCTGTCATTGGTTTGGGCATTATAATGTTCTTTATTGGCGTCTTTCTATTAATTACTTCACTAGGACTAGTGCAAATGCCAATACAAGTGTCTTCTTTTTTGTTTTTTGAATTTGCTCCTAAGGTTTTTTATGAATATGTTTTATATGTTAAACCTTTTTTAGAACTTTTAATATATTTAGGAAATTATTTAATAGATGTATTTTTTTAACATTTAAACTTGTAGCTATTACTTTTACAATCAATGTAATTTATTAAAGATGTATACATGCATTTAGGGATGTCCACCAAAACTGAAAATGTGCCAAAAGTACTTACAAGTTTGAAACCTAAACCGAAATTCAAAAACCATGCAGTAGTTAACTACTTACGTTAGACTGATACCTACTTATGATTAGACTGATACCTAATTATTTTTGGGTACCCGTTTTGGTATCTAGTTGGCTTGATATTCACGAATTCGTCGTCATTTGGGTTACGATTGATTCACGAATTCAATGTCATTTGGGTTACGATTTGACCCACGAATTCGTCGTCGTTTGGATGACGA